AAAGGATATACGAGGGAGGATTTGCTGACAGAGGATAGGCTCCAAGGAAATGATTGAGAAGCTGGTAAGGCAACACGTTAAAAAATGCATGTTGCAAGCCTTGGAAATTCTAGAAGAGGAATTGTCCCTTAGGAGGACAGATGCACAGCCTTACTGGAGTGATGAAGGTGAGGGGGGAACAAAGGCCAAACATTTCAGTGAGTGAGGTGCTTTCTGTTCGCATCTTTCATATTCATAGCATTCTCCACCACACTGTCTCAAATGCAGTATAGCCAAGACAGAAGTTCATCCCTCCTGTCCTCCCCTCCTTATCCATTGAAATGTTACTGTCTGCCCAGCTGAACAACCTCCCATCTATGTTTGGCTCTTTTTTTAATCCCGGGATTTGGCCTGTTCCTAAATTGTGTCCTTTTACAACAGGCATGGGGACCCACAGACCCGGGGACATTCTTTGCCTCTGCATGAGGCCTTCAGAACTCTTCTCTGGTCATTCCCCAGACAACAACCCCTCTTCCCAGGCTGTTAAGTTGTGGGTGAACATATCAGACGACACAGTGATTCTTCAAACAGCTCTTGTTTATTCACAGGCCAGAACAGAACTGAACTGAAGGGTTCAGCCAGCCTGCTTACATAGAGCTCCACTACAACGCAACAGTAACCACTTTCCGTAACTATCCAATCACTGAACGTCACTTTCAATCCCTTATTTGCATATGTGGACCTGAGTGAAAACTGTCTACAGTATCCCCCTGCTGGCCCAGGGTGAGAACTTCAGTACATAACACAGGCCACACCCATAACTAGCCCAGTTACCTCCCCCCCCCCCAATGCATGACACTTCAATCCTGATTAATTACAGGTGTAAGTATCCTCTTGTCAGGGACTGGACTGAAGAGGAATGGTGGAGGCCGCGCCCACCCTTCCTCCTGAACCTTCCCGAGAAGAAGAGGACAGTATATATTTATGATGGTAGTTTGCAGAAGAAGGAAAGAGCTGGGAGATTATGGAAGGGGAGGAGAAGGAGGAGAAGAAGAAGAGTTTGGATTTGATATCCCGCTTTATCACTACCCGAAGGAGTCTCAAAGCGGCTAACGTTCTCCTTTCCCTTCCTCCCCCACAACAAACACTCTATGAGGTGAGTGGGGCTGAGAAACTTCAAAGAAGTGTGGCTGGCCCAAGGTCACCCAGCAGCTGCATGTGGAGGAGCGGAGACGCAAACCCAGTTCCCCAGATTACAAGTCTATCGCTCTTAACCACTACACCACACTGGCTCTCAGGAGGGGAAAACAGCAGAGCTGAAACAGCTGGCTGACATGTTATTATTATTATTAGAGTGCATTCCTGACCCCCCCTTCTCCTAGTTCTAGGAGGGCTGCGAAAGTGGAAGTGCAGAAAGTGAACAGACAAAGGTCTTACCCAGTCACGGTAAGCGTCTCCACCTCCATCGTTCTGCCCAGACATTGAGGTCCAGTGCCGAGGGCCTTCTGGCGGTTCCCTCACTGCGAGAAGCCAAGTTACAGGGAACCAGGCAGAGGGCCTCCTCGGTAGTGGCACCCGCCCTGTGGAACGCCCTCCCACTAGATGTCAAAGAGAAAAACAACTACCAGACTTTTAGAAGACATCTGAAGGCAGCCCTGTTCAAGGAAGTTTTTAATGTTTAATAGGTTATTGTATTTTAGTGTTCTGTTGGAAGCCGCCCAGAGTGGCTGGAGAAACTCAGTCAGATGGCCAGGGTATAAATAATAAAATGTTGTTGTTGTTGTTGTTGTAGCAGGGGTGGCACTGCAGACGACATAGAGTAAAAGCGAGGGGAGGTTACTCGGAGCAACGCCATTGATTAAGTAGGGAGTACACTCCTTTCTCTCTGTGTGTAAATCCAGAATAAATTACGTGGCAAGGACTCTTTTTGTTACCTGCTCTTCTTGCCGCTGCCAGGGGAGGGAAAGGATTCCTTGAACCTTGACGCTTCTGCCCACAAAGACAGTTTGATCGTGGTTTTGCATCTATTTTATCCATTTTGACTGTTTCTTATCTGGTTCATTCTGGCGGGGGGGGTGTGGTCAGTACCAACTAGTAATGCAAATCAGTGAGGAACATGTGAACGCCCACAGTAGAGAAACTGTTCTTCAGGATGTTGACTTGAAGGTTATAATTATCCCAAGTAAATAGATCCAAGTGACCTAGATAGTTCAAAGCAACCAGCTGAACATGGGATGGCTGAACAGCTCTAAATAATATCCCAAGGTGGAAAAATGGCATATGACCTAGAAAACTAGTGAAGTCTAAGAGTTGCAAAATCTTTTACAGCCAACCAAAGCACACCACCTATACCCAGAGGTGTAGTTTTAAAAAAAAAATAAATTAAAAGGTGACCATGATTGTTAGGAATAGATTATATTTGCAAGGACAAAAAAAAATAGCAGTTAACTCACATGACAAATCAAAGAGGGCAGAATTCTATACTGCCAGTAAATGCCATTTTAAATTGCCATTAATTCCTAGCAAGTAACAGTGTACACTGCGGCCAGCTACAGGATTGTCTCAACCCCATCCTCATTCCTTTCCTTGAATAAGGTCCAAGTTGGGATGTTCGTTCATTCCGTTCCAGGCATCTATTGGAAGGTACCATAGCTCGGCAACGGAGCCCCTGCTTTGTATGCAGAAGGTCCCACATTCAATCCTTGGCATCTCCTGGAAAGCGGGCAGGTCCCCTGGAGAGTTGCTGCCAGCCAGTGTAAGCAAAGCTGAGCTATATGGACCAAAGCTCTGACTCGGTATAAGGCAGCATCCTCTTTGTATTAAATCCCCCTTGCCCTTGGAGAGAATTGCTAGCACAATCCATGTGAAAGGACTCCCCAGAAATTCACTTGGCCAATCTGAGAATTGTAGAGTTCACAGGGACCTGGGTGGCCACCTATGCCAGCCTGCTTCTCAATGCAGGACGCAACTACAGAAGGGATGAAGAACCTGTGGCCCATCTCTGGTAGGGCAGAAGGCAGGGAGTCCAACCATAGGTGGCGCCAGAGGCAATGAGAGGCAGAGCCAACTATCTCTAGCCCTCATCTTCCTCTTGGAAGCTGAGTTCTACAAAGGGCAACACTGAGACGAAGATGAAGGCAGCTGACAAGTACCATCTTACATTTCTCTTAGGAAAACAGGGGTGGCCAATATTATTACTACTACTACTATTTTATTTGTACCCCACCCATCTGACTGGGTTACCCCCAGCCACTCTGGGCGACTTCCAAAAGCATAATAAAACTATACAGGACTGCCTTCAGATGTCTTCTAAAGGTTGTATATTTACTTCTCTCCTTGGCTTAGGGGTTGCATAACTCCATACCCTCCAAGATTTCTCCAATGATAATAGGGACGTCCTAAGGACAAGCGGGGGGACGCGGGTGGCGCTGTGGGTTAAACCACAGAGCCTAGGACTTGCTGATCAGAAGGTTGGCGGTTTGAATCCCCACGACGGGGTGAGCTCCCGTTGCTCGGTCCCTGCTCCTGCCAACCTAGCAGTTCAAAGTGCAAGTAGATAAATAGGTACCACTCCGGCGGGAAGGTAAACGGCGTTTCCGTGCGCTGCTCTGGTTCGCCAGAAGTGGCTTAGTCCTGCTGGCCACATGACCTGGAAGCTGTATGCCAGGCTCCCTCGGTCAATAAAGCGAGATGAGTGCCGCAACCCCAGAGTCGTCTGCGACTGGACCTAATGGTCAGGGGTCCCTTTACCTTTTATCTAAGGACAAGTGGAACATTCCAGGATCAAATCAGAAGCTGGGACAGCTTCTCTAAATCCAGGACTGTACCTGGAAAATAGGGACACTTGGCAGGTCTGTGACAAGTAGCGTCGCCCCTTTGACCCATTGTGAGGTAAGAAGGCAGGCAGGTGTGGGCTGGCAGAGGGCAGGCTGAGACTGGTGGGGGACTGTCCCATTCACCCAAGTGGATCAACTCACTATAGGATGGGAGGGGTTCCAGGGAGGGAATAATAGGCTCCTTGGATCCCATTTCCCCCCCCCCATGAGTCTGAGGGAAGGAAGTAGTGCAAGAGAAAGAGAAACTATATAGGCAAACACTTTGCCCTGTTGTGTTTAAGGATGTGTGCTTGTCTTCTTGCTGTCTTCTTGAATTATGAAGCTGACCTGTTGCTGACACAACCTTAGTTCAGCAAAACTTGCTGCCAGCATCTATGTTTCTTCCACACTGGGTCTTTAGAGCTGCCGAGGCATTCCTCTTCCACAAATCGGCAGAAAATAGAAATAAAACAATCTGTTCTACTCAGCAGTTCATGCTGCACTGTATTTTGCAGCAACAGCTGTCCCCATAGACAAGATACGTACTCAGAAATATAGGTGGGGAAATATAGGGGGGAAACTGGACAGTGTAGAGGTCCTGCTCACAACCCCCCCCCATTACAGTCAATCAAATTTTTGTCACAGGCTAGAGTCCCTTTTAACTCTGCCAAGGCACGGAGGAGGAATTTGATTTTGTTTGCATTTTCACAAGAAACTGCCTAATTTGCATATCTTGAACCTATGTGAAAACCAAAGCAGACATCCTTTGAAACTCGCACATATCCCAATTTTGCCGTGCAGTTCTCCAACTAACCAGGGTTTATAAAAATGCATATACTGAGGAAAAGTGTGGGTGGAAACAAATCTATTAATGAAAATAACATAGAACGATGCATAGAAAAACCTTTGAAGCATTTTTGTTGTTTCCATTCATTCTGATTTGTTCATGAGGAGGTTACACCAAGCAACACGATTCCACACTTCCCAGTGCATTTCCCATCATTTTACTTATTGCAAAAACAAACGCATTTTGAGGAGAAGCAGGAGTTACTCAAGCATTCCAAAGCAGCTTTTATTCTGCAACCTGACTTTGTCTATTTGTGATTGAATCCCATCCAAAAAAAAAAATGATCTGGAAGTGCTCGGAGTGTTTAATTTTGGTAGAATTAGCAGTTCTGATTTTTTATTTTAAAAAACACAAAACTTAGATGTGTTACTTTGTTATTCCTTTATTCTGGTAAGCACTCCCTTTTTTGATCTGTAAACAAAACCATTTCTTAACCTTCTTCATGCAGTTTCTTCCTTACCGCTCCATCCAACTTAAGACTAGCACAAAAAAGGTTGGGGGAAAAGTTTTATAATTTATTGGTTGCACATCACTATTGATCACAGAAAAAGCTGGGCTCTTTGTTACCCAAAGAAAGCCACTTTGTCATTTATTGGGCAGGGAAATATACCTATCAAATTGCACAATAACAAAAGAAGTATCTGGGTGAACCTCTTATCGCTCATTTCCACTTCCTTCCCTCTTGCCTTTTGTGTACCACGCTGTTATCAGCTTCTAACATACAGGACAAGATTTACTGGCTGGATTCCCGAAGGCAGAGCCTCTATAAATATATATATGGAGGAGTCAAATGCCTAAATGCAAGCTTGTACTTTAATTTCAACTTAGGAAACCAGGGCACAGCAACAAGGTGCTTCATCCAGAAAGGACCATAAGTCACATTCCCTGGTCATATATCCTTCACTGTTATGCAAGTGAAAATAGGAACAAACGTCTAACACTCTCTATTCTCGCGCAACAAAGAACATTTGCCTGGGGTTTCCCACCTCCCTCTCCCCCCCCCCTAAATTCTGCAAGCTGGTTTCTACACTACCGGCTACATTTGTTCATTTGGCAATGGGTTCTTTTACAAGCCATTGGCATGGATAAGTGGGGAGTCAGAAGCTGAGAGCCGTGGCCAGATAGTCAGAGCCCATGTCAGGGGTGAGGAACCCGAGTCCCCTGGGAAGAGAAACTGATTGTTGAACAACTCTGACAATAATTCTAGCTCTGATAAGAGATTAGGGGTCTTCTAACAACCCTCAGCACCCATCACAAAGTACAGCTCCCAGAATTCTTTGAGGGGAGGTCATGACTGTTCAAAGTGGGATCATAGTGCCTTAAACCCATGGTGGGAATGTGGCATCAGTCATACTGTAGGATCCTCAGAGACACATGTCCTATTATTGATTGAATATCAGAGTAGAGTCACTGAAATTAATGGAGATGACTGACTTAAGTCTTTCAATGGGTCTGCTCTGCTTGGACTTAGTTGGATACAAACCTCAGTCTTAGTCTGACCTTCTCTCGCTACATCTGTGGTGTGTGTGATGAGCTGTGCTGGTCCAGGGGGGAGGTTACCGTGGGGCGAGGTCCAGGACCTGAGTTGAGGGTCGGCAGACAGTCCTCCTCGGGCGAAGCGGGGTCCACAGCGAGAAGCCGGGCAAGGACAGGAACTCTGGGGGAACAGGACTGGATGCTGGCCGAAACAGCTCTTCAACGACGTTGCTCCCGCAACCTGGGACCGGGCTGACTGGCCTTTATCTTCTCTGAGGCCAGGGGCGGTCCTGGCCCCCAGGAGACCCGCCTCTCCTGGCCTTAAGGCGAGCACTCCTCCTGTTCCCTTCGCCTCTCTGCCCTGAGCCTCTGTAGTTCAGGAGAGGCTGAAGGGTTACTGGACCCAGGGGGAGACTCACCTGTAGGCACTGAGTCCTCAACCACCTCCGGAGCCAGAGTGGATTCACCTGGTGCCTGCTCCTGAGGATCCGGCACAGGTGTAGGCGCTTCAGAATCAAGGTCCTGCCCCAGTTCAGCCAGCCCTGGTGGCGGGGACTCCTGTGCAGGCTGGGATTCCTCCAGTTCAGCCTCTGAATCGGATTCCCAGGCCATCACATGAGCACTAGTCATCTGGTTTTAAAATAAATAAAATAAAACCAAGACTGTTGGGATTCTGTAGGACAAGCAAGCTATAGTAACCAGGGGCACACAGGGATCCAACTATGTTCGTGGTTGTCTTAATATCTGTTGTGTGGAGATTTGCCTTTAATTCCTGTTGATGGTTAAAACAAAATGTCCACCAAAGCACAAAAAAGGTAAAATTTGTTTGTTAGACGATTGTGGTGTTGATCATCATTGGGTCCCCTCCAAGTCTGCGGTTTTGTATCTGCCAGATGGGATTTTGTGATAAAACTAACTGTTGAAGTGGTTAAACCAATCTATGTTCATGGCCCCAGCCAAGTCTGTTAAGTATCTCTTTGCCTGACTAAAGTGTTGGCTAAGTGCAGCTGAGTTGCCGTAAACATTACCAGAAAAGGGCAGGGACATCCTCCTCTGACAGAAAGTGATGGTTGTGGGTGGTACAGGAGATCAATAGGCTAGGGACCAGTTTCAGCCTTGTCTGGAGCTTGGAGACCCTGAAACTTCACCTGGTCTCTCTGCCAACAGCTATGGCTATGCCCTTCCTAGAAACCTAATGGGGGGGCAATATTTGTTAGGTCATTAATATCTACATGGTAGCTAGGGAACAACTTGCACCTTAATACCAGCAAGACAAAGAAGATGGTGTTGGACTTTCGGAGGAAGAGAGGAGAACTAGCCCCGCTGTACATCAGGGAGGGCTGTGTGGAGAGAGTCTCTTCCTTTAAATTCATAGGAGTTTATCTCAGTGAAGACCTTACTTGGAAAATAAATACAACCCAGGTGGTTAAGAGAGCCCAACAGAGACTCCATCTCCTCAGAGTATTGTCAATCAACATTTGATTATCTCCTTCTACCGGTCAACAATAGAAAGTGTCCTTTCATACTGCATCACAGTGTGGTATGCTGGCTTGACATCATCTGATAGGAAGTGCCTACAGAGGGTGGTGAATATAACTTCAGGGCAACTGACTTTCGGGTTTGTTGGTAGTGCGTCAGTAAACGAGGGGAATTAAGACTAAGAGAGCTCAGTAGGGGGTGCTCGTGTAATCTCACTGTATACAAGTTGTACAAGTGACAATAAAGTATTTCAATTTCAATTCAATTAATGTTGTGGTCCCTGGCTTATGCTCAGCATTTTGTTGTTATTGTTGTTGACATCTGTGTCAAGAGACAATGGAGTGCACCTCCAGTGGTGAAGCCAAACAGCTTCATTAGCAGCAATGAAGTGACCTCCCTGCAGCACAAGCAAGGGCAATGTGTATGGAGGTCCTGGGCTGCCCAAACAAGACCTGCCTCTCAGCCTTGCTGATATGATCCAAAAGAAAGCAGAGCAATATGTTTGGCACCAGCTTGGCTGCAGGAGTTGCCAGAAGGAGGCGTACAAGGTGCCATCCAACCGTCTTGGGGACTCCTCTCTGGATCACTCCTTCACCTTTTCATCGCCCAAAGATAGCCCACAAGGCAGCAGAGGTTTAGGGTCAGAATTTTCCTTCTAGATAGGCTACCTTCCCAGGTTGATGAGCCTCATCTGCCCCTCACATCCCTCTACACATGCAGAAACCACCTTCTTGACCATTGGACCCGCTATTGGTCTCGCCTGCCTCAATCTGCAGGAGCCTCTCTTCACATTCAGGGGAAGTCCCTATCTCACCACAGGTTTGAGACCCATCAGTTACCCTCACCTAGTTTAGCCAGCCAGTCAAAGCTGTTTCCTGGGGTGTGGGCACTGTCACATGCTGACAGCTTCTGGGAGCCACAGGTGAGAGCTGAGTGCCAGGTGAGGACCAAAGGTGGACAAACTGTCCCAGAAGAAGCACAACATGTTCCCCACCAGAGGTACTACCCCTCCCCTGACACCCCTTACAGCCTTCATATGTGTGCAAATAAAACCATACATCACAAAACACCACCATCTCCAGTGCTTTTGATGCCAAGGAAACCAAGCCCAAGATCTGTGCTGGCACCCCTGAAATATTTCCCTACGCAGAGACTGGGGGGCACTTAACAATATACTGGGTTGCAAAAAGCTCTGTACGGAAATTTGTCCTGCTGAGGAGGCAGGCGACAGGACGAGTCCATACCTTTGGCTCAGAGATTTTTTATACGTGATAGGGCAAGCTGATCAAAATCCTCCCTGCCTTTGAGACAGTTGCAAGAAATTACAATTCACCTCTGAATTCAAGCTACCATCTGCCATTTAGATCAAACAAACAAGCATGCCCAGACTTCATTCCAGTTCTGTGTCCCTGGGCCCCCAACCACTGGTGTTTCTTCTGCCCACTCCTGCAACACCCATGCCTATGGCAGTAGGCTAACAGGGGCATCTATGCATACTGTTACAGGCTACCCCAGTCTCTGCTGAGCAGTAACAAAATTCCAGGAGTCTTGGCACTTAACCAGGGTTTGTGTTCCTTGGAATGAGACACAGCGGAGATTAGTGTCTTTCAGAAATATGGCATATCTTACACATATTTACGACCTGAGTTTTAACGGAGGGAATGCAGAACATTACACCCCCCAAGAGTGTCTCTCATTGCTCTTCTCATAGCTTCAGCAAGCTTGGGTTCAAAGCAGCAACACCCAGTCTCTCGGTCCAGCCTCTCCCAGCCAGCACACATGGAGTTCTGACCCTTTCTTTCTCCTTCCCCAAAACTCTCACTTAAAACCCTCAGTTTAAAAGGGCTCCCTTTTTTCCTGTATGACATCACACCCCTGTTACCCTGGCAATCTTATTATTATTATTATTATTATTTATTTCATTTCTATACGGCTTTATATTTTTAAGAAAAATCTCAAAGCGGTTTACAACATTTTAAAACATCAATAAAACAATCCAGAATCAAACATTTCTAAAGAAAGTCAAATATAGAGTATACAGTCAAAGCAACATAATTAACAGAAAACTAAAATGTTATCTTAAATATTTCATATAAAACATTACAAAGGAGGTCAACTACAGAATACATATTTAATACAAACCAAGTTAACAAAAATAAAATAAAATCTTAACCATTAAAAAAAAATGCTAAATGAAGTCAAATATAAAATGCACATTTAAAACAGCACAATTATCAAGAGAAGAAAATATTATCATAAGCATGACATGGCTGTTTGGCAGGCACAAAATGATGGGGCAAAAGAATTCAGTAGTTAGGGTTTGTTGTCAGGCATAGCGATGTCCCTCTGGTCTCACCAGGTGCCTCTTTAGTAGAGCTGGTGTGTCTGGGCCCTGACCCCTAGGCCAGGTGGAAAGGTCCTTGCAGGAAGCAGCCTTCACGACTCACAACCTTCCCCCTCCCAGCTTACATAATCAAACACTGAAATCCTGAACCTGGTCTTTGTCTCTGCTCACCATCCCTTCCTAGAAGAAGAGGCTCACATTCCTCTACTGCCCAGCACAAGGTAACTGTTTGTGTGTCAATTGCCTGTTTTTTTTTACTTTGTATAAGTATAAACACCAACAATTGGGAAACACTTGCCTGTGAGCGCTCCAATTGGAGAACAGCCTTTACCAAAGGTGTCATGGGTTTTGAAGACACTCAAACTCAGGACACAAGGGAGAAACGTGCTAAGAGGAAGGCACGCTTGGAAAATCCACACCGTGACCAACTCCCACCCGGAAACCAATGTCCCCACTGTGGAAGGATGTGTGGATCCAGAATTGGCCTCCTCAGTCACTTATGGACTCATTGTTAAAACTGTGTTTATGGAAAACAATCTTTCTCAGCTATGAGTGGAAGAAGAAGAAGAAGAAGAAGAAGAAGAAGAAGAAGAAGAAGACGACGATTTTACTTTGTGCTAGTTGATGGTTCTGGTTCTTCTTCCCGTGCAAATCTTGGTCAGGGAGCTGATTCACTCTGCATTTTTTGCACTGCTAAGATGTCTTCCACCTGGACAAAGACTTCAAGCATTGAGTAATCTACATTTACTAACTCTTGAAATTACTGGGGACAGGAATCTAGTACCCAGGTCTTTTAGGGGAATCTGCCCCTCACCACACATAAATTTCTAACAATATATACAGTGCTGTGGTCTGCAGAGAAAGTCCTATTAATTGTACCGCAGCCTGCAGGCCAGGGGTGGGGAAACTCATGGGCACCACATTGGGGCAGCATGCTAGTGGTGGGTAGTGCTAGAGGAAAAAGTGGGCACAGCAATATACAAGCATTTTCCCTGTGTGCAGCAGGCTGGTTTCTTCCTGCAGCTGCCTCTTTCCTCCATCCAGGCAAGGAAGAGGCAAAAGGACACAGACAGACCCAAGAGACAAACCCTTGAGAAGGATGTGAAGTCGAGCAGGTGAGGGGTGTGGCTTGGGGAGAGGGGTGTGGGCTGAGGAGAGTCTCAAAGGCCAGATAAAGGGGACTGAGGGCTATGTTTGGCCCCTCAATCTGAGACACGCTGTCACTGCTGCTGCTGCAGATGTATGTCTTACAGTTGTTTGGAGAGGGGCCTTCTCTGTGGTGGCACCTACCTTGTCACGACACTGGCCACAAAATGTGGGTAGCACCATTAGCAGGCAAAAAAGGAGCAGAGGGGGGAGACTCCTTGTGCTACAGTTAGGATGAACCCAGTCTGTTTCAGGAAAAAGAAAAATCTTTTCTCAAAGGGTTCATTTTTCAGAAACAGTTCAAACATATTCTTCAGTAACTCAAGAGTTTTCACCCAAAACATCTGGAGGGTACCAGTTGGGAATGGTGGTGGCAGAAGCATATGTGCACTGAGGCTAGAGCTGTTCCTTTCCCAGGGTAAAAATCTATCTGCCTCATCTAAGCTGTGCATACTTTTCTAAGTCTCCATCATGTACCCTGCCTTATCCTTGCTAGTAATTGTTTTTCTAACAGACAGGAATGAACCTGTTTGTTCAGCTCCAGTCACCCCTGACCATTGGCTGCGCTGGATGTGCCTGTGCTGGAGTCAAAATTTCAGGAGTACCTAAGCTCTGAATAATCATCACTCACATGCGTAATGTCCAAAGAGCAAACAAGAATACTATTTTAACCGTGGGAGATTTTTCAATGTGGTGGCAAAAGAGAGAGAGAGAGAGAGAGAGAGAGAGAGAGAGACCATCTGTCAATAAATAGAATACATTTTCCAAGATGCCCCAATCTTACATGCAAAAGGGTATCAGCCTCCAATTTTTCAATATTTTCAAATGAGACATGATGTAATCCAATTGGTAGCAAAATACCCTTGAGGAAAGGCGATATTTAAGAATTGGATAATAAATCCTAATACCCCAAAATTGGCCTGCATTATTGGATTATAAATAAGCAGACCAAACTTGGATTTCGTTTAAGAAGAAATTGGGAAAAGATTTAAGGGACCGCATTACCAATTCAAGAGCAGGAGTGGATTTGGTTATTTAAAAAAAAATCCCTTCAACACAAATAAATACAACTTTTTTTTTCTTAATAACTGTCAAAATCACTTATCACTGGTATCTGACTCCATATAGGTTGAGGAAAATCTACCACTCCAGCTTGAACCTTAGTCCTCTCTGTGTTATACATTTAAATCAGTATTATATAACTCGAAATAGCCATG